AGGAAGTTTTTCAAGGGCAAGCAGTTCAGGTTGGGGTCAGGGTTATTTCTTTTGCTACGTATTTTAAAAAAAAAGAGTCTGAGTAGGGGAGGGTTTTGTAAGCAACAATACCAGAACCACTAACAAGAACTAATGACCCTTTGAGGAGGCTTCACTTCTGAGAGATCATCTCTCACAACCCCAAACTATTTAGTCACTCCTAGATCCCTCTAACAGTTTTTCTGTGTATAAGGTCCATCTTGTCTCCATTAAGATGCTTGGATTTTTATAATCTAGCCACTGCTCAGATTCTTATAATCTAGCCACTGCTTACTCATGTTCAGACTTCTTAAGAGTCTGCCCAATATGACAATGTTCTAATAAACCTTGTCTTTGTCTGAAAGAAGGCTTGGGTCAAATTCTTTCAAGCAGGACCTATGTGTTGTGATATTGGGGTCCCAGCACCCCTGAATCCCTAAACCACATCATTACCATATACACACACATATATATATACACATACATACATCTTACATGCACACACAGATATGATTCACAAAGGCATCTGAGAAGTAAAAAATGACAAACTAAAACTAAGTACCCTAAGGCATCAGAGATTGGCATAAGAAGGCAAGGACATTTTAATGAGGAAGAATTTGCCAAAAGGAATGGCAAGCCTTCTCTTCTGCCTAGAGATGACAAACAGCTTCAGACCTCAGCCTCTGAGAGAGGCAAAGGAAAGAAACTTCTCTCAGTTCCACAGTAAGGGTGATGGGGTGATAAGACCTGGACCCCTAAAAGGAAAGGACCATGTCTTTGAAAGTTATGGCCCTTGCCAGCAGGCAGCAGTTTCCCTGAACTTTCCCCACACAACCCAGTCCCTGGCATTTCACCTGAGGCCTCTGGCCCATCTCAATCCACCTCAATAATCCTTTTAACTGCCCTTCCCAGGTGGCTCTCTGACCACTTAACTCCTTTCATTGTCTGCACCTGAATCACCCCACTCCTTAATCCTATCCAAATAATAGTCTTTTTTTGTCTATAAGTATCAGTCCAAGCCTCATCAAATTTGCAGATTTACTAGGAATCTTGCTAATAAGGCAGGGTCAAAATGTTTTGGAGCTTAATTCCTTCATAAAACCATAAGCCAACTCTGCCCATTCATAATGAATCAAGAAGCCTCACATTTTACCCAAGGAAAAACAAAATAAAATTAAAAAGGCTAAAAACTAAAATCCCTCAGTGTGGTGTTTCTAATGACATTCAACCTGCCAAAACTATAAACCCAGCTTAGAAAATGCAACTTGGGAAAGGATATAAGATTTAAAAAATTCCCTCTTCCCTTAAATATAACTTATGTGAAAATATGAAATTAAATTTAAAAATTCTGAGTTATTGCACAAATTATAAGTTTTCAGACTGGTGTTATAATACAGTAGATTCACTTAGAAGCTATCCTGCTTCTATTAGCATCACAAATAAACCTCACTGCTTTGACTGAAAGAAGGCTTGAGTGGTGGAAATCTTTCCAGGCAGAACCTCTGTACCCTGCATTTCAGGGTTCCCAGAACCTCAAACAACAACAAGAGTATCTGCTCTAGCTGAAAGAGACAGGTAACCCTCCAGCTAAAGACAGCCCACCCAGTCAATGGCTGAAGCATAAATTATTTATTGCAAAACAAGCCTCCACGTGCTTTGTGAGGCCCCTCTGAAGAGATAAAGGAGGTAGAGGCCTGGTAGTATTAGAATTCTGAATTCCCTGGGCCACCTTTATTCCCTCCATGTAATGCTTAGATTAAAATTGTACTTTTAAGTTCAGACCCTTTCTTGCTGGTAAGGGTCTATAGGTGTTTGTGGGAGAGTATGTTCCTTAGGGAAAATGATTTTTAACTTCTGTGTTTGTTATGGTCCTAGAGAAAATGCAAAAGAATTGAGTCCACTGGCTAATTAAGGGGCAGTACACAGGTTGGGGGCTGTGAGCTAGTATTTAGCAAGATGAAAAAGCACAGGGTTATCCCAATTAAAATAAATATTAGTTCTGTAATTGAATGTGATTGGTGCAACTAAGTGAGCTGGAAGAACAAATGCAGAAGGGAAGCAGATTTAAATTACAGAGGCTTTAGAAACCCAATTTGAATTGTCAATGCAAACTGGTTAGAAGTATGAGCCACATAACTCACTGAGATTACAATGTGTCAGAAGGAGAAAGAATAATCAGGGCCAGATTCCTCCTGACCTTGGAGCCTGGTAATAAGTCTGCAAGCATGTGAAGTGTGGGCAGTTTCTACTTACCCTCTCAAATCTTTGATATATTTAAGGGTGGAGTGGGGATGGAAGGAAAAGAAAGTTCCTCCCCACCCTTCCAGTGGATTCAAGGGAAGTGAGTTGCGGTAAAATATAAGCCAAGAACCTGATATAGGAATGAGCTGAAAGTCTGGCCTCAATCAAGGCTGGTGGGTGGTTCTTAAACCTGCCTGGCTCACCTGGGCCAACCTGTGGGCTTACATAAAGATAAAAAAACTAATGAAAATGCTTCCCCTTTGTAATAGGGACATTTTGGTTGCTGAAAGGGGGAAGAAAATGAACATTTGTGTGAAGACAAAATCTGCTTGAGAAGAAACAAAGTCCCTCAGATAAAAAGATTGAGGAATGTGTCAGACAGACATGAGAGAAGATGATCCCTCCCATAAACTCACTAAGGTAGAACTTGTTTGAAATCAGAGCATTGACTGAGATAAAGATGGTTGCAGAGGACTGTGGTCCATCAGCTCATTTCCATAGAATGGTTGCCGAATTTTAAAGGTTATAATAGAAATTGTAATTATAGGGCAGTTAGGCATCACAGTAGATAAATCTCTGGGCCTGGAATCAGGAAGACCAGAGTTCAAATCTACCAGCCTAAACTTAGAAATTATATGCCCCTGAGCAAGTCACTTAAACACTATTTGCCTTATCTGTAAAATAGGCAAAATAATAGCACCTCCCTCATAGACTTGCTGTGAGGATCAAATGAAATGATATTTATGGAAAGCATTTAGTACAGAGCCTGGTACATAGAAGGTACTATATACGTTCTAGCTATGATTATTAGTATTAATTTCAAAACTGGAGGGTCATACCTGACAGAAAAGCGGAGTTTGGAAAAGGATGCATCACTAAGTAGAAGGAGACTTGATCTGAAAAATTATAAGCCTGAGAAAGACAATCAGATAAAAATAGAAAATAGAAAATGCAAAGCTGAGTGCTGGAGGAATTAGAAGATTCTGGGGACAGAAGACCCAGAAGGCTTCGGAAGGGCAGCTGCTTACCAAGGGCAGAATATTCAGGAAGATGACAAGAAATGAGCAAAGCTGACATTCCTAAGCTATTTCAAGGGCCTCCCCTCTTCAAGAATTATAATTCTATGGGTGTGTCTATTTCAGTGGCAAAAGAAAGTTCCTAAGTGTAAAAATTTTATGGTTTTGGTCTCACAGTCCCTAATCCAAGGCTTGACTTAAGAACAAGTTTAAATATCTCAACCCTAGACAACCACCCCCACCCCATTTTAAATAATCATTGCCCCTAGACTTCTGAGAAGCAGGGAAACAAGCAGGTAGGCCTTGCAGTTGGTTCAAGGAGCTATTTCATTGAAGGAGAATCCTGTAAATGCTGGAATTTCATTGGAAGAAAGCAGCATCCTTTACTTATTGCCTTCTAGTACCATCTGCAGCTTGAGAGAAGGGAAGCCTTTCCCTTTGCTGCCCTCAATAACTTAAGAGAGAGAGGAGAAAGTAAAAGCAGGCTTTGCAACAGTTTTGTTTTAAATAGCATTTTATTTTTTCCAATTACATGTAAAGACAATTTTTAACATTCATTTCTGAAAATTATGAGTTCCAAATTTTCTACCTCTCTCCCTTTCCACATTCCTAAGCCAGTAAGCAATTTGATATAGATTATATATGTGCAATCATGTAAAACATTTCCATATTAGTCATACTGTGACAGAAGAAACAGACCACAAGGATAAAAACAAGCAAAAAATGAAGTATGTGAAAATAGTATGCTTCCATCTCTATTCAGACTCCATCAGTTCTTTCTCTGGATGTGGATATCATTTTTTATCATGAGTCCTTTGGAATTGTCTTGGATCACTGTATCGCTAAGAAGAGCTAAGTTATTCATAGTGGACCATAGCACAATGTTGTTCTTACTATGTACAATGTTCTCCTGGTTCTTCTCAATCAACTCAGCATCAATTCATGTAAATGTTTCCAAGTTTTTCTGAGAGCATCCTGCTCATCATTTCTTATAGCACAATAGTATTCCATTACATTCATACACCACAACTTGTTCAGCCATTCCTCAATTTTTGGACATACCCTCAATTTCCAATTTCCCACTACAAAAAGGGCTGCTATAAATATTTTTGTAGATGTAGGACCTTTACCCATTTTTATGATCTCTCTGGAATACAGACCTAGTAGCTGAAGTGCTGGATCAAAGGGTAGGCACTGCTTGATTGTTCTTCAGTTATATTTCCAAATGGCATTTCAGAACTGTTGGATCAGTTCCCAACCCCACCAACAGTTTTACAATTGTTTTGCAGGGAACTGTGCAGATATTTTTGCTAAACAAACGTAATATTTTCTGAGCATCCTGTCAAGTTTGATCATATGCTTTGAATCCAAAGTCACTTTTTTCCCTACTGTACAACATTGCTTCCATTTATACTATATTTAGCACACAAATTACCTATCAATTCCTAGCAGATCAAAAGCCTAGTCCATTATCCTCTGCTCCCTAATACTGGCCAATACCTGCTGCCCCATCCTGAATTAACCCCATCCTGAAAAATCCACCCACTAGAGTGGGTTTGACTCTTCCTTAGAATATTGCAGTTTGTAAAGATGTTTCACATCTGCTTCTTACAATAGCCTTGTGAAGCAGATAAGACAGGAATCCTCATTTGTCAGATGAGAAAAATAAAGAGCGTTTATCAAAGTCACATAGTTAATGGTAGAGACTGGACTTGAAACCAGGTCTTTTTTTTTTATCTGGTCTAAGTTCTCTGTGATCAATAAACTTCTCTGGGGTACAAAATAGTATCCTGTCTGCTTTAGACTGGGATTTGGGGGCTAGGCTTTATCTTGTCCTTTCAGGAACTATTTAGATGGTATGGACCATCCATACACTCCTAGTTGAGGCCAAGACCTAGCTGGCCTCAGGGAATAGAGCTAATACAGGACACTTTTCTGTGGCCAGTCTCAGAGGACAGGGGAAATCATTGCCTCCTCAGTTGGGAACAGAGAGTTAGGAGGGGGAGGGTCAATTACAAATAGACAGTAGGAAGGGAACCCAGGGAAGACCTGATCTAGAAAGGTCATAAAATTAGTGACAGACCATATTGGCCCATGAAATGCACCCTAAAGCCACCATATGCTATGTGTCCTAAGCACTGCTTTGTCCTACTAAGTCAGCAAATATGAGTGCACCTCTTACCTGCTGGGTCAAATATCCAACAGTATCATAGGCACCACCCCAGTCCCCTAATCCTGTTAAACAAGCCAGATCTGGTAACCCAAAGGGCCCTATACTTCATTGCTTTTTCTCCCTCCCTCCTTCTTTCTACTTGATTTCCAGGGTTCATTCATCATCCCTGAGAAGGGGGTTTTCCTCTCCCTCTTCAGGAACTTTTTGCTTTCTTTTGGCCATAACCTCAGTAGCCTCAACGCCAGCCAGACCCACAGCAGCCCCAACGCCAGCCCCTACACCACCCCCAACCACTGTGGCACCCACTGTGGCCCCTGTAGCCACAGCTACACCCTCCATAGTCAAAGCAGTGGCTGCCGCACCAACTGCCATTATACCACCAGTTGCCACCCCAAGGACTCCAGCCCCAAGAAGTCCACCCACGGCAGCAGTATGGCCACAGAAACGATTTTTATAGGATTTATAGGAGTCCAGAACTCTCATCTCAATCTCTTCCTTAAAATTGTTCAAGATTTGATTCTTCCCTGGGCCCTTCAAAGTCTCTTTGAGACTATTTAAGATTGTATCTTTCTTAGTTGAGAGGCGTGTCCACATGGTTCCAGGCAGAGTCTTCAAAGAAGTAAACATGGACTTTGTGGAAGAATCCTGAAAGTATAGAAGAGGAAGCTATGACTGCTGACTGAGCACCCAGGGATTCAGATCCCTCTGATTCTGAGAATTCAGGCAACCTTCACCCTAGTCCCCCCTACCAGTCCAGATGAACTCAATTATGTTTAAAAAAAGTTTTAATATACATATATATATGTCTGTATGTATGTATATGTATCTATAAATATGTGTATATCTATATCTATCTATATCACTTTTTTTTTACAAAGATGCCCCTCCCCTGGCACCCCACACATCAATTTAATCAGATAGTATGTGCAACATTGTACACCCACACTTCCCAATGTCTTCAGAGAAAGGCTGGGTGGGTGGAAACCACTTATTTTGTTTCCTTAGCCTGCCTTTGCTTCTGACTCAAATTCATCTGAAGCCAAGCCAGGGAGGATATTGGAAATGTGTTAAATTGTCTGAACCTGAAGCTAGATAATTATCTAATACTTAATCTAGATATTAATTATAATTACTAATTATAGTTAACAGAAACCTTTGATTCCCAGTCCATAGGGTACAAAAATAAAGATCTAGTTTTTAAAATTTTAGCTTTAAAACTCTTCTGGGCTTCTGTTACCTGGTTGTAGTGCCTAGTGAACAACCACGATTAAAGAGCTAACAGCCAGGCCTTATGAGGCAGAAGATTTAACCAATACATCCTAGCAGACTTAACTTGAAAAGGCTGAGCTGGCTCTGAAGAGATGAGATTACTAGGGGAGACTGGAAACTTAGCAAAATAGTGCTCAGAGGGGAGAACTCTGACTCTGTGAACCCAGTGGAACTCACCAGGGGACACCAGTGATCACTTTGGAATAAATATACAGGGGCAACTAACTACCTCTGATGCTTTAGGACCCTGATGTTCCCTGGTGAGTTCATGTATTATAATAATAATAGCTATACATGCTCACTCAGGTAGGTATATGGTGTGTGTATTTATAGGATAAAATACTCTACATTCATGAAGGGAATGCTCTATTATAAATCTTCTTACTCTGCCATTCCACTAGCACCTTTGCTGTGACATAATTGTATCCCCTGGATAACTAGGGAAAAAGTAGAAGTATCAGTGGGAATTTATGAGTTGTTGTGAGTGGATGTGAACCCACAGAGTGTCTCGAACCTAGGGTAGCTCTGGGTAGCTCATCCATGAGAGGGACAATGAAAAGCCTGAGGGTTCACCTGTTCCTTCACAAAGTCCTCCAACTCTTTTCTAGCAGCTTCAATAATCCTCATATTATACAGTCCAGTAACCACCTGTCCAAGGAGAAAAAGACCCCTTATCATGTTGTCTTTTACCCTATTCATTTTGGAATTCTGTCCCAAGCCTCCCACCTACCTCCACTCCCTACTTAATCCTAACCCAACCCCACGCTCCCTTGAAGACAGTTGTTCTGACTCCCTGGACCTGGTTCTCTACCCAGGACTAATATCCTTCCCAGAACTATAAGCCAGGACTTTACCGACTCAAACAAGGAAGAATATCCAAATTCTTTCTTCTGTAATATGCTGAAAAGTTTCTGCAGATAAATTTAAAGTGATAATTAGGGATCACAAGAGAATGGACAGATAGGTGAAAGATTCATGGAAGTTAGGGAAATTACTTGTACCTTCATGTTCTCAGCTAATTCTTCCCCAGTGAGAATATGTCCATCTGAGTGCCTTTTCACATGCTGGGTGGATGACTTGCAAACATCAGTGATGTAGTCATGTAGATAGTGATAGAAATCTGGATCCATGTCTGAGGAAGAGAAGATCTGTGATCCTGGGAGATCTGAGTAGTGGAGGGCAGGGTGGCTGGAGTTTAGAAGGGAGGAGGGATGGTGGAGGAGCCAAGATCAGTTATACTCTGAGAAGGGATTATAGGGACTTCTGGATAGAGGGGCAGTCACCTTCTGGATTTCCATTGCTGCTAGTTGGTATTTTTTTCCCAGGAAATGGCAAGAGATAGCAGCAGGCTTGTTTGCTTTTAAGAATCTTCTGAATCCTGGGATATCTGTCAGAAATTTTCTAAGGAGACAGCAAGACCTCATGATGGGCTCCATGCTTCAGGTGGTAGCTTCTTTCTCCCTTCCAATGTTCCTGCGGCCCTCTCCCACTTTGTATGTCCACACTCCAGTGGTACCTTTCTTTCCTCCCTGAACCCAGGCCTCATGTCCTTTTTTCCCACCACCCTCCAAACAGTTGGCAAACTGATATTCTTAAAGCATAGGTTCCATAAGTCTGCTCAAGAAGCTTCAGCGGCTTTTTATTGCCTCTGGAATTAAATATAAACTTGTTTGTTGGGTATCTACAGTCCCTCATCATAATCTCTGGCCTACCTTTCTAAGTTCTGTACATTACTGCTCTTCATACATTCTGTGACCTAGCCAAACTGACTTGCTGCTGGCTGCTCCCTGAACTTGCCAGGTCTTTCCCTCCTTACTCCCATCTCAAAGCTCACCTCAAATGACTCCTGCTAAATGAAGCCTTTTCTGATTCTCCTCATTTTCTAGAGCCCTCCCCAGAAATGATTCTATATATGCTCATACATGTATATGTTGTCCCCACCACCACTAAGAAAGTATAAGTTCTTTGAGGGCAGACTCAGTCCTGGCTCAATAGTAGGCATTTCATTAATTCTTATTGAATGAATAAATCAGTGAATCAATCAATGTTCCCACTTGCCTGGATCACATCAATCATGTGTTTTTGACCTGCCTCCTTTCCAAATGTAGCTGGATAAAACCAGTCGCGAACTAAGAGATTCAGATGCTGGAGAAGAGAAAAGGTAAGAAAGCTGGACAAATGGATTCTGGAGGGGGTCAGAGTCTCAGGGCAAATAATAAATAATGCCTCACCTGCACTGGTTCCATCTTAAAACATTCTCCTATCTCTTCAGCAATATGGAGGCACATCTGGTAAGAAAATATAAGTTAAGGCTCTTCTTGTCACAGGACCAAGATATGCTTAACTGTCTCTCTCTCTCTCTCTCTCTCACTCTCTCTCTCTCTCTCTCTCTCTCTCTCTCTCTCTCTCTCTCTCTCTCACACACACACACACACACACACACACACACTCTCTCTCTCACTCTCTCTCTCTCTCTCTCTCTCTCTCTCTCACACACACACTCTCTCTCACTCTCTCTCTCTCTCTCTCTCTCTCTCTCTCTCTCTCTCTCTCTCTCTCTCTCTTTCTCTCTCTCTCTCTCTCTTCAGGTCCCTTAGACTCTCCTGGAGAAACCAGAGATCCTTTCCTTCCATAGCTACTGGTCCTTATGATCACACTCTGAAACGAGACCTTTCCTATCTCAAACCTAGTTCTTTGTCTCATATCACTTCCTCTCTTCCCCTCAACTCCCAGCAGAAGTTCAAAGTATTTGCTCACCTCCAGATACTCCAGATCTGTTTCCTTCACCATCCGAGAGACATTGAGAATCTAGGAACAAGGAAGAGAAGGAACTGGGAAGGAGAGCAGGGCAGGAGAGCCTAGAAAACTTGATCACTGAGCATCTCAGAAAGTATGAACCCTCCTTTTTAGGATAAGCACATTCTCAGAATGGAATTATTACTTCTCATGAGAGGAAGGGGACTTATTTTGCAAGGCAACATCAAGAACCTTGTGGCTAACAAATCCTTTTCCCCTCTTGTCTTCAGTGCAGAAATCAAACCTAATCTAGTCTAGTTAGAGTTAGGGGCTGGGGTGGAAGTACAGGAAATTTTCTATAACCTACTTTTAAAATATTGCCTCAGGGATTACTTAGGGCCAGGAGATAGTAAGTACAAACACAGAAGCTAGTGATTTTCATTTTCACTAAGAATACAGTAGCTGATACAGATTCAGTTTCTCTGGTCTAGAAATCTCATTCTTTTTTTTTTTTTGGCTAGATTTACACAGGATATATGTCAACAATACAATGATTTAAAAATATAAACCATATCCACTTTAAATCCTGTGACCTTACAAATTTTTTTCAATAACTACTCACCATTCCTTCCCAATTACAATAATATCAACAGCAGGCCTATCCCATTAAGGCAGTGCATTGAGATGCCTTTTTTCAGATGAATCAAGTGGTTTTCACATTTCTCTTTGGTTCACTTCCTGAGTTATAATTCAATTCTGGCCTGAAATCCTGTAATAAGCTGGAAGGGAAGCTGTCTTAGAGAAAGGAACCCACAGGCTAGGGAACAAAACACGTGGGCCCAGGCTATCACCTGATGAGAGCTGAGCAGCATGCTGAAGGCCACGAGCTTGGCATTCATTTCCTTGTCCTGTTCTAGACTTATGGTCCCTTCTGTGTCCACAAGAAACACAGCCACCTGGAGAGGAGAGGGGAAAGCCAGAGCATGAGGTCAGCATCATGGTCCTCTCCTCCTTCTGCTCCTTTTTCCTTCAGAACTTCCTCAATTCTTCTTCCCTTTCACCTACCTGATTTCCCTCAGTTTCTCTCCTCTCTTCTCTCTCTTATTTTCCCCATCCCTTATACCCACCCTCCTTCCTCTTTTCCATTGTCCACCCCTTAGCTTCCTGCTTTTTGCCTCCCACTTTCCCCTCTCCTTATCTATCTCCCCTCTTCTGGACTCTTACCTTCCTCCCATCCTTCTGCAGAATGAATGGCTGGCTCCATAGCCACAGGCCCTTGGTGATGGCCTTGGCTCCTGGTTCACACTGGAACTCTGAAAGATCGCTTCCTCTTCTCATCCACTGGGGATCCTTGGACTTCTAAAGGAGGTAGAATTAATTATTTCTTCCCAGGACCTAGATATCATGTATATGAAATCTCCCCTTTAGAACTTATTTACTCCCCTTTCAAAATCTGGATCTAGGCCTCCTAACACTGAGCTTCCTTTAGAAGCTTTTAGCCTCAACACATTTCTCAGGGTTCCCATCCTTCCCTCCCCTCCACCTGTCCAGACATGGAATCCCAACCCTAGGCCTTACCATACCCTGCAGTCCTCGGATTAGATAGTTGAGAAGGAAGGACTTTCCTGTTCTCTGTTCCCCCTGGACAGAGATGAGACAGACCGGACTGTTCTTGGCTTGAGGGTGATTCAGACATTGATCCAGAACCTCTAGAGAGAGGGTCAAATCCTTTCTGGAGTTCACTTGAACCAGCTGCTTTGCCTCTCTGTTGCAAACATCACGTGGCTTCTGAGAAGAAGAAGGAAAGGTACTGTAAATTGCTAATCTTCTTGGATCTGACCCTGGAGTACCCACCTCTATTAAGTATAATGAAGGAATTCCCCATCTTTCACCCTAATCTTTCTAGATTTAACCCAAACTTCACAACCTCCTCCCGAATCAGGCAAAATGTAATTATTAAGTGCTCACTATATGGTAGCCACTATGCTAGTCAGACCTAGAAGATCATTTTTTCCTTCTCTACACGAGACTGTGAGGCCCCATCCTTGACCTGTGTTGAGTCTGCATTCTGCTGTAGCAAGTTCATATTCTCTAATAGATTCTGGAGCCGTGTGTCTGGAACTAGCTGCCTCCTATCACATCTCCTCCTGCACTCAGGGCATAGAGGTGGTTGGGAACCTGGAACACCTGAGTTCCAATAACTGTTGATGCATTTAGCACAGAAGTTGTGACCACATTCAAGGGAGACAGGATGTCGAAACAGATCCAAGCAGATGGAGCAGGTAAGGAGAGACTTCAGTAAATCCTGTGTGTCAGTTGAAGTACTCGGTGAGGGGCATTTCGGAACAGAGCTGGGTCTAAAGATACAGAACAAGGTGTTATAGAGCAGGATGTCTAGATCTCGGAAGGGCTGTAGGAGCTAATGGGGAGTAGTTGGGATCTGGTGGCAGGGACGTTTCATTTAAGAGAGAAGAGTGTGAGGAGTGAAGACCAAATGTAGGTAAGGTATGTTGATGTATAATTTCTTTTTTTAAATACCTGAGTGGATCAGTTTCTCTGGATTACTGTGGGAAGGGAACACTGATAAAGAAGTAGAGGAGGGGGATTCTTATTCTTTTTGATCCCAGACTGATTAATTTATTACAAAATCTTAGAATTAAAAGGAATATCATAGGTTTTCCAGTCTAACTTGTCACCCTATGCTGGAATGTCCTGTAACATCACTGTATGAATACTTCCAGTGATGGGAGTTTTTTACAGGTTCCCCACCCCGGAAGCAGACTATACTCTTGTTGGATAGCACTAATTTTTAGAAAGTACTTCCTTAGATAGAGCTGAAATCTCTGCCTTACTGTAAATCTCACTGACTCGTAGTAATTTTGCCCTCTGTAAAAGGCAACAAAGAACAATAATCTTTCTTCCCCACAATATCCTTTAAGATATTAGAAGGTAACTATCACTTGCCCCCTAAACTTAGACTTCTCCAGGCTGAACCTCCCAAATCCTCCTAATTTGGACTTGTTCTTGCATATTAACCATCACTTTTACTTACAAATGGTCATTTTTGTTTTCCATCAAGATGGATTTTTACGTCCTTGAAAATATGAAATAAAAAAGTGAGAGAGATATGATAGAACAGCTAGTGCTGGACCTTGGTACCCACACTCGTCTCCTTTCCTTTCCTTTCCTATCTACTTGTCCTCCCTTTAACCTCATTTCTTCCCCTTTCTATTGCCCTCCTTTTATCTCTATCTCACTCAGTTTTCTTCTCCTCAACTCTATCATCCACTTTCTACTAGCCAGCTAGTAGATAGATAGAGTGGATAGAGTCCTGGGTCAGGAATCAGGATGACTTGAGTTCCAATCCTGCCTAAGACACTTACTGGTTGTGTGTGACCCTGAGCACATCATTTGACTTCCGCCTGCCTCAGTTTCCTCAACTGTAGAATGAGGATAATAATAGAATCTACCTTCCAAGGTTGTTGTGAGTCAAACTGTAAAGTGCCTTAGATCAGTGTCTGTCCCATAGTTGGCCCTTAATAAACATTTGTTTCCTTCCCCTTCACTATTCCCCTCCTTAGTCCTATCCCACTGTCCTCTCCGCAGGCCAGTCCTCATTCTTTCCCATTCTGGTCTGCTCAACTCTATTGCTCTGCCCCCTCACGGTCTTCCCCAAGTCCTATTACTTTCTAAGTCCTAGTGTTGCACCTGCTCAGCGCCTGGCGCCTGTATTTCCCACTGTCTTCACCTTAGCACTAGCTTCCTTCTATACTATTGTACTCCCCAAGACCCATTCCCCTCCCATCCCACAATCCTCCCACAGACCCATTCATCTTCCTTCTCACTGTACTCACCCTGTTCCCTTTGTACTAAACTCTCTTCAGCCCTATTCCTCTTCCCTTAAGAGCAAGGTCTTTATTTGTCAGGTCTAGAAACCTGTGGAATAAATGGGATAAACAAGTTCTGTTCCTGGAAGTGACTAGATGGGGGACGGGTTTGGGGGTGGGGATGAAGCCAGGAAAGAGTCAGGGATGTGGGGAGAAAGGAGAAGACCAAAGACTAATGGAACATACTTACCTGCCTTAGGGGTGTACCTCCTCTGGGAAAGGAAGGAATGGAGGGTCTCACTTCAGTCCTCAGTCAGCTTCTGTTCAAGGAGGACAATTAAATAGCTTAGGCTGTATTGAAGGAAGAGTCTTTAACCAGGAAATTGAAAGAAGGAAGTGATAGGCTCAAAGTCCAGGGAGGGGCAGGGAGATGAGGCAGAAACAGCATTCAGCCTTGCAGAAAAGGTTCCTGGAATGAGAAAACAAAAGGGGCAAAGGGACACATGGTTAAACAAGTGAAAGCACAGCAAGTTACTTCACTTATTCATTCAATTGTCAATTTAATTTAATTTTTAGTAAGAAAATAATAGCTAACATTGGCAAAGCAGTTAACCTGTTATCTCATTTGATTCTCACAAACATCTGTAATACTTTAAGCAATATTATTCCCATTCTATAGATGAGGATAGTAAGGCTCAGAGACAAGAAAAGCCTTGAACATAGTTATACAGTAAATGTGGAGGTAGGTTCCCAACCCAGGTTTCTCCTGACTCCATGTCCACATGCCTTTGTGAGCTGATACCTGTGATGTTCAAGGCTCTCTCCTAGGAGCTATGGGGAGAGAGAAATAAATAAAACCTGGAACCAGCCTCAAAAGGGCTCACAATTAGCTGGGGAAAGAAAAACAGATATTTATACTTTCCTGTCTAGGTAATTTCCATCATGGTTTCTGGTTTGGTTCCCTAGGGGATGACAACTCCAGGTTCAAAGTATGCTGTGGGGTCACACACCTAAAATAAGAGTCCATGTGTCCCCATGAATGTATTTACCTTAAATAGTCTGTCAGAGGACACAGTAAGCTTAAAACAAAGGTATTTCTGAAATGGCACAACAGGAATAGTTGTAACAAAATATTCCCTCCATAAACCTGGGGCCCCTCTCTCCCAGATGCACACAGCAGCAATGGGAAACCTGGGCACAAGCACAGAGTTCACTAGCCCAGGCACAAATAAACAGAACGCACACGGTCAGGGCAATTAGCTGCTCCAGAACATCTGGGACCCAGTGTCCTTTCTCTCTCACATTCCCTCACACTCTGCCCTGTGCTCATCCACTGCAGCCCTTGTATCTGATGGACAGGTCATACCACTGAGCTCTTTGGGCCTGTTCCTGATAGTGGCTCAACTCCACATCACAGTTAGAGCTTCTGGTCCTACTCTCTGGAGGGCCAGGTGTGTCCTCCTGGATGAGTTGCTCTACTAAAGGGCCCCTGTTGTCTAGGTGGGGGGAGGGTGCTCAAAGGGAGAGAACCCCTCCCCTTCCAGTCTAGAAGAGGCACAAGGAAATAGGTAAGATGACTTTGTCACCTGCCCTTGCTTTATTTTTTTTCAAATAGACATTTAATAAATATTTTGGATGGAGATATATCGGAGAAATACTTCTTCCTTCTGTTAATGATTATAATTTTTCCTGACACTGGTGATAGCAGGATGGAATTCCACTTGTGTCAAATAAGCATTTGCAAGCCTCTTCATGGTTCCATTTCAAGCACTTACACAGGCTAGAAAGGCCACATTCTTCACTTTTAGAAAGTTAATATTTTAACCCAGAAATCTATACAAGGTGTCCCAAAAAATCTGAGTGAAGTTTTAAGCTATCTTTGGGCTGTCTTAGAAACAGATACAGAGATGATGAAGAACAGGCCGGGGCCCAGCTAAACTCTCCCAGCATTGCCCTCCCAACAACTTTAAAATAATACCTCATATCAAATTGTGGAATGGCAGAGCCAACAGCAGGTCAGGGGAGACATTTTTCCAGTGTAAAGCAACCTAGGAGGTCCACAGGAGGGACCTGTAACACCCAGTGGCCACAGGCCCAGAGCATGGCAGCAGCATCAGTGGTGTGGTTTGGAGGTGGCCCAGACAGCAGTAGCAGCAGCTTCCAGAGCTGTCAGCCCAGAGGTGGTAAGGGGGTTGAATAATTGGTCAGAAAGAAACTATAAGGGACCCTTTGGTAGCACTGGTTGCAGCTGCTGCTGACTGGCAACTCTATTGCCCATTAGTAATTCTGAGTCACACTTCCATGCCCAAGAAGAGCATTAGTGCTAGTAATGCAAGGGAGCAGGAGCCCTTTCTGCATAAAGATCAGAGCACAGGCCAGGAGAGCAGTGACCACATGTCTCCCAGAATAATACCAGCTTGAAAGCACCAAAAACTTGCAGTAACCCCTTCCCCCCAAGAAGTAGCAGCACAAAAAAGCCTGAAGCTTGGCACTGTGCCTCCCCACCTCCAAGTGAACAGAACCCAACTTTAACATAAAGTTCAAAGTCAAGAAATAGCCTGGGAAAATGAACAAATAACAAAAAAATAACTTGATCACAGAAAGCTACTGTGGTGGCAGAGAAGACCAAGACATAAACTTAGGAGAAGACAACAATGTGAAAACAATGTGAAAAAGCTACAAGGAAGCCTCAAAGGAAAATGCTAATTGGACCCTGGATCAGCAAGAATTCTTGGAAGACTTAAAGAAAGAGATAACAGGGGTAGAGGAAAAATTGGATAAAGAAATGAGAGTGATGCAAGAAAATTAGGGAGAAAAGAATTAACAGTTTGGTAAAAGAAGCACAAAAAAATTACTGAAAAAAAATATGACCTTAAAAAACAGAATTGGCCTAATGGTTAAAGAGGCACGAAAGCTCATTGAGGAAATAATTTCTCAAAAATTAGAATTGGGCAAGTGGAAGCTAATGAGCCCAGGAGACTTGAAGAAACAAACAAACAAACAAAAAAGTGAAAAGAATGAAAAAAACAAGAAAATGTGAAATATCTCATAGGAATAATAACAGCTGGGAAATTGATCAAGGAGTGATAATTTAAGAATTAATGGAGTACTGAAAGGCATGATCAAAAAAAAAGCCTAGACATCAAATTTCAAGACATTATTAAAGAAAATTGCCCCAATATCTTGGGTCCAAAGGGTAAAATAGACATTGAAAGAATCCTCTGATCACCTTCTGGAAGAGATCCAAAAATGAAAATTCCCAAGAGCATTATGGCCAAATTCCAATGCTCCCATGTCAAGGAGAAAATACTACACGCAGCTACAAAGAAGCAATCCAAATATCATGCAGCCGTAGTCAGAATCGTACAACATTTAGCAGCTTCCACATTAAAGGAATTGAAGATTTGGAAAATGGTATTGGAAAAGGCAAAAGAACTAGAATTACAAGCAAGAATCACCTACTGACAGAAAGCTGGGAGCAGCCATGGTGGTGATGAGCCTCTTGATGTGGGCTTTGGCTTCAGCAGCACCTGGAGCTGGCCTGGCCCTGACCTGCCATGGACTCGGGCCGCAGCTGTGTCTTGGCGGCTTACTGACCCGGAGCACCCCGGGTGCGGGCTCTGTAGCCCCAGTCCGACATAGTGGAGGCCATGGGTAGAAAATGTTTGTCATCAGACCTACTGAATTTTATGACAAGAGATTTTCAAAGTTGAGATTTTATTTATTGTTGACTGGGATTCCAGTAGCAATAGGCATAACATGGTGAATAGATTTCTTGGCGAAGCTGAATTAGCAGAAATCCCAGAAGGCTACGTTCCAGAGTACTGGGAGTACTACAAGCATCCCATAAGCAGGTGGATTGCTCGTTATGTTTATGAACCTCTTGAAAAGAATTATGAAAGAACCATGGCAATCCTTCAGCTGGAAGCTGAAAAGGCTGATTTGAGGTTGAAATATTGGGAAACAGAGGTATGAGAGGAAGAGGGGATGGCCCCTGGTTTCATTACCCAACTGTTGATAAGCAACTTATTGATCACAATGCTAAAGTAGTGCCTGACCATTAAGCTATTGATTCTACACATCTGATGCAATCTGTCTTTCAGGGGGGAGTCAAATGAAGAAATGCATACTGCATTGTTGTTTTCTGAATAAAATAGCCATTTCCCTTTTGGTCTTGTAGTTAGTTTTCAGTGTAGTTTGAGAGAATTGCTTTTGATGTGAAGGGATGGTTTTCTTTTTTAAGAAGGTCATGAATATGGCAATTAAAATTAGATGAGATCAAAGTTTGTGAACTTATACAGGTGTTATTGTTTGAAAGTAGATTCTACAATATGCCCAGTAAATGAAAGATGTGGACAGGAAGTATAACCATATCAAAAACGACTTATGTACCTGAGCATATAGAATATAGGCATCTTGGTTCATCATTGATAGCTCATCTATTTCAGTTGGCATGGGAATTTTCAGCCTGGATTATGTAAAAATTAACACTTTAATAAATCAGATAAATGAAAAACTTCAGTAAGCAAGTCTTTTGGAAGTTGACAAAGTTTTGTCTTTTTTTTTTTACTTTTTATAGCCAAGAAACTTTTGCATCTCTTTAAAGAATGTGAGTTTTTCAAGGATCTTATCTTAACTATTGAGATATAATAATAAAAATAATTACTGGTAAATATTAAAAAAAAGTTGGTGTTAAGAGTAGCTCAAAGTAAGGAGTTTTAAATGATAAAAATTATAAAACATAAAAGACAAGAAATATTTGTTAAATTGAAATGCCAAGCATAGACATAAAATTTTGTAAAAATTTCAACATTTAAAAATTCTCTTTAAAATAATTTAAATACAATTTGATGGGCTCTTTGTATGGGACAAAATTATTTTTAAAAAGTCAAGATTTGAACGTTTTTGGTAAACATTTTTTTTTTCTTCAGCCACAGGAAAAGTTTATTAGTGATAAAACACTTAGGGCCAGGTGACACCCATAAGGATGAGCAGGCATGAGAGGTTCTCAGCCTTTTGAGTGTGAGATTCTCAGCCCCGAATGAGGGCCAGGGTAGATCTTATATACTTTGGGTGACCAGGGAAGGGTCTGGGAAAATGGTCTGGGAAAAGGGTCTGGGTGAGAATTCCCAGAGACTGGAATGTCTAAGAGATTGAATAGACAATGGGAATAGATAATGAAGGAACTGAAAGGTATCTAAATGAAATTAAAAGGTAGGCTAAGGCTTTCAAAGAGAGATGAGGGGCTGGGGCCTGTAGACAAAAGGGGAGCCAGATTCCCTTTAGGGCAAGGGGCAAAGACCTTGGCTTGGGCCACACCCCATCATTCCCCCCTCAAACAAATTTGACACAAATTCTTTTGGGGAAAGGGGCGAAGGTCTGGACTTCTGAAACTGCTTCCTGCTGGCAAGGGTAGTGGAGCTGTCCCTGCCTCTCTGGGTCCTGTTTGAGGGGTCAAACTTCAAAAAC